CACACACAGAATTGCACGTCCTCATTCCGATCGCCCAACTAAGACAGCTGAAGTTTGGAGCTTGGAGAGGGAAGAAAGAAGGGAGGAAAAGGATAAGAGATGTAGCATCAGATGAGTGCCAGGAGACGTAATGTAGAACGGCGTTTAATAAAAAAAATTAAAATGGGTAAAAGCAATTCAAGTGAATCCAGAAGAGGGTGGTTTTTGTCGGCTGACCTAGAAATCAAGAACTGTTTGAAGATACCGATGTAGTATGAGGACAGACAATCATAATTAATGGGCCGCCCGGCATGTGTACGGCACCCCCAGAGAGCGGCGCAAGATACTGTCAATGTTCGCAAGAGTTGTCTCTTTTTTCATTGAGATTCAGTTGATCAGAAGGCGTAAGACCGGGGCTAAAGTAGGCCCCCAAGTTTGGGAAAATGAAGAATTGGCCGCCAATGTAGCAATCAAGACAATCAACGACGCTGCTGTTCTACGGTTTTACTGAATTAAAGGTTAGGCTCAGAGCCACCGGTGATGAGCGATGCACCCATACAACTGGAGGGGTGACGAGCATACGAACGCACCATGGTGCAACGTTACAGGGCGACCCTCTATGCGGGGCGTACCCATCCACCACAAGAAGTGTTCATTCCTCGTACATACTATCTGATCCAAGTGCAAAAAATTTCCAAGCAGTCATAATTGCGGTTTGTACATCAATAATTGACTCCAGCTATCAGATATTTTATCGGATCAGGGGGATAGCCAGGTCGGTAAAACAGTTCAGTCTTCTCGAATGAGCGAACAGCAAATAGCCACTGACGAGGCAAGTCACGGAGGCAAATCAAGTGGCGACTAACTTTTGGACTATGCGAATGGAATGGAAGCGTCTATAGCCTGTGTACAATAGCTCAATGACGATGAAGCATTGCTGTAACCTGGCGTGGCAAGTAGAGGCGCACCACAGTGTTTTGTATGTATGAACTGGTGGGATGTGGAACTAAACAAGTATTACAATCATCGCACACATTCAGACACACTATTTGATGTAATCAGAAGTTGCGAAATGGTTCTAATCAATGGGGAAATAAAGCATAGATTTGGTTGAGGTTAGTTAAACTCTGTTAGAGCAAAGCACAAGACATTAAATAGAGCTGACAGAGTTATTGGGGAATAGGAGCAAGCCTGAAGGAACAAAGAATAATTTGGCGGAACACGGAAGCTCAAGGCTAAAGGTAAGGAAATATGACGGGGTCACTGGAGACTGGTATAAGAACATTTACAATCGCAGGCGCTGGACACGTTCTGCAACGCAACTACATTTCAGAGGGCTAGTGGAGATGTAGTCCCAAGTGGCGAACGTCTGCGGGAGAGGTAGATAAGATAGTGATTTATTGAGAACACTTGAGAGAGTAGTTGTTTCACATCTGGGTTAACGCTAAGAGGTTCAAGCTGGTGAGTATACATCCTACGACCAAGTAACTGGACGGTTGTAGCGGAAGCACAAATTAGAGGAACTTAGGGCCTAGTTCAAAGAATGTGTATGGTGTAACTTGTGGCACAAAATGACACCTGGATTCCTCAATATAAGGGTAATAATCGATGATCCATTGAAAGCCCACGTGAAATGGTGTAATGCAGATATGGAACGCGAGCTTGTTTCATAATTCAGAATACAGGTAGAGGGGAAAGTTTTGTCTAAAGACAGTTCGACAGGTGCACGATGGGAGCAAAAATTCAGAGTTGCGAATATTGTGTGCGGAAAATGAACGAACTTCATGGCAGCGGTCAGGTGTGTAAGACTAACAGTAGATAAGGCGACGCAGAAGGCATAATTTCGGCCTAATGCGCCTCAACCGTAGAGGATCCAGCCCAGGTGACAAACAGCAAAAACGATGTGACACTGGGTGGCGCCGGAAACAAGGACTTAGTAAACAAGAACTGCATGCATGTAGATGCTGTGAAGCTGTTCAGGGCCAGATTAAAGAATGGGACTTATGAACGTTTTAAAGATGGCAGTTTAACAAACTTTACTGTGTAAAATCAGCGAACGAAAGCGCAGGGCTTGTAGGCTTTATGCTCTCTGTACCATACCTGCTGGGAAAACCTGAGCGCACACGAATACCTAAGACCCAGGTTATGAACGTTTTAAAGATGGCAGTTTAACAAAGTTTACTGTGTAAAATCAGCGATCGAAAGCGCAGGGCTTGTAGGCTTTATTCTCTCTGTACCATACCTGCTGCGAAAACCTGAGCGCACACGAATACCTAAGACCCAGGTCCCTCTCTTTGGGAAGAGTAGTAATCGAGGTTCATTAAGAACAAACATTCCAGGTGGAATCTTAAATTATTGCGAGGGAGTTTAATATTTTGAAGAAGCGAAAAAAGCCCGGAGTCGGAGGATCAGAGAGATTGAAAATTCAGATCAGATTGAATGCTAGCAAGCGTAGAAACAGCTGCTGGCCTTGAGCTTGTAAGCCATCTTAATATCATCAGAAAACAGAAGAGCGGATCCATGGGTGATGAAATCAGTGACATTTTTAATGTATAGCAAGACCCGTAGTAGACCAAGCACGTGACAGTGAGCAACTCTCCGGGCGATGATAAGAGGTGATTAGGAGTGATTCACGAGCTGGGTGACCTTGGTTTTTCCGGTGAGGTAAGAAATGAACAATCGCATTAGTGGGCTATCAACCCTCGTGGATCGCAGTTCGTTGAGGACTGCCCAGTAGGCACTTGGTCGAACGCCTTGCGAATGTCACTACGGAGCCCGGCATCACTAGCGGACTATGTATGATAAAAGAACTCAGCCTGACGTGTGTCAGCTGACCACCGGGTCATAAACCCATGTCACCGATAGTTCGGGGCCTTGATGGTGATCAGTTGATCCATAACAGGAAACCTGATGAGGGAAGCAAGCAGGCATGCTGGAGCAGTTTGTAAACCTGACTTATGGTGTGGAAGAATAGTGGGGTGCTTCCGTCGTAGGCCCGGCGCGTGGCCTACGATCTTCAACCACATCAGGTCAGGTTGCATTCATGTTTGTGCAGTTATGAACTACGAGCGGACACTCCTCTCTTCACACTGCACACAATAAATAGGCATGCAACGCGGCGCAAAATCGCACACTCGTGCGCACAGAGCAGGAACTAGGCATGCAACGCGGCGCAGAATCGCACACTCGTGCGCACAGAGCAGGAAGGCAACCGAGATCCATGGGTGTCCGGGGGCAACTACGGCACACGTGTTGCAGCTTTGCCGCATGGAAGAGGAGTTACACGTCCAAAACTTCGCTCAAGAACTCAAAGCTGTTGCCTGCGAACGACAAGTTACTTCCTGGCTTATTCGCCTCCGGGAGTGCACATTCTTTTGCAAACATCTTCACTCTGGTAAAAAAAGATATTTTTAGTGCTTGTCACCTTCTGATAGTCAACCTAATAAGGCCGTATCAGGAAGGTCGGATTCCTGAAAGCAACCTCAGAACGCCCGAAACCTACTGCTTCACCAAAATCTCAGCGGGCAAACTGGCAAGCATCCAGGCCAGTCAATCATTCAATCAATTCAGCAAAACCTGATGAGTTTTGTTGCACGCCACGGAGGCACGACCGAAAGTGGTAAGCGTTTAGGCTTTTCATAGGGGCATGATCGATGTTGATGGGTGTTCACTAACGCTTATCAGACGGCCTGGGTTAATGTACGAAGGTCCCTTCAAATGGACTGGGGCCGTTGTAACTTTTGCTCTCGCACTAGCACGCACTCACGCTCCCGCACTCGTCTGTTCGGAATATAGCCATTGTGTTCCCTTCTGTGAGCTTTCTTCTCCGACATTAAGCACCGGAGCGGGTCAGCAGCAGATAACACATATTGACGAATCAGCAGATATAACACGTTACAACCAGATCACTAGCGCATGTTTGAAGTTAATATCAAGTAAATATTTAGGTGCAGGTTTTATGCACCGGAAATTTGCGTCAAGAAGTTGAATGCGAGGAATGCACCGGACCACATCGCAGGACTCCATGTAACAGCTTCCCATTTTCTGAGAACTACCCTATCAGATTTTCTGCATGTGTTGATCGGGAAAACTAATTAGCCTATGCCAGAAAAATATAGAAAAAATACATTTAGAATGGACGTTTAGATATGTAAATTGGTGTCTTCGGAAAAACCGTTTTCTGAGAAAACCTTTTCATTTGCCAATAGATGATCAGCATTGGTCCATTTAAGTATAAACTTCGGTCATTACGTACGAAAAAAGGATCAGTACTCGGTAAAAACTCTGACCATGCGGAACTCCACGTGGCTATTTTCTACCGAGTAGATATTAGATACGTCATCGAAGTGCGCCATACAATGGACTGCGTCACCATCAGTTCGGGAAGCCCCAGGGAGAAAATGTGGCGTCTGCTTGGAACATGCATCCTTTCTAATCACTTGCTTCACCTGGAATGGTTACGGGATTATGTCGAACGGTAAAATTCTTATGGTGATTCTAATTTATCATGCAATTTCATCGGCCACCTAGGCGCTGAGAGAATACTTTTCACCAACCATTTGCAACGGCAAATTCTGCAATTCGTTTAAGGTCACTTGATTTCGTATCATCCTCCACAGGGGTGTGAATTCTATATCGCGCACAAGTAACCTATATGGTCTAGAAGCATTAACTCAACTCGACTTTTGCCGTGCTGAGCATAAAAACGTGTGGCATTTAGGAAGTGACATATGCCGAGCGGTCGGGAAAATGTTTAACTCTAGATTCCACCAAAGTTAATTATCGTATTAGCAGATTACAACAAATGAATAAACCTCTTCTAAAGTAGGGATGATCGTAACCAGCACGAGCACGACTTCCGGTATTAAACAGCGCGAAGTTTTGTCTGAGCCAACTACTCGTCCAAAATTTTCTCTTCAACAATTTATGAACAGAGACTGCCTCGTTAAAAAACAGCTTCCCGCAACTGCACAGAAGAAATCATCATTGGTTGAATCAACTGCTGCTGCGGACCGTACTAAAACAGCTTGTTGCAGCTCACTGCACGAAAACAACATCTTTACATTGACATGTGTCCCAGTGATGTATGGCAGAAGGAAATAAAAATGTGAACTTGCGGTTCTGCCCATCGGTTGCCTCCGATGAATTCAGAAATAGATTCCGGTAACCGATTATGTTTTAACTTTTTGCTGCCAGATAATCTAAATCACCAAATAGGAAGCTTTATCACTTTTAGTCTCAGTACGAAACGTTTGTTTAGACCGTCCAGCTCGTAAGACCTTGACCCAATCGCTACCGAAACCCGCTACATTTGGTCCTGCTCTTTGTGTGAGATTTGTGCGGATTTTACCTTGACCGATTGTATGCTGGTTTTGTGGATTATGATAGTCTAGTAACAGCAACGGTAATTTCGATCGCTCCGGTAAGTACAAAAGTAAGCACTTTCATTAGTGGACTTGCTGAGGACCGTTCCACGAACCCCTAATGGATGAAATGAACAGAAATTTTCGGTACCGTCCTGGTATACTGGCTTACACAAACTGCACAAGATATTGGAAGGTAGCTGGTAACAAGCTAACTATGAAAGTGAGAGGCTGCTTTCTTCATCCAGTACACCCCTCCAGCGGCGTAATCTGCCATATCAGCAATTCACGAATTACAGTTAGCGGAGCTTCAACTGTGCACCTGACGCTTATGGAAGTTGTTCTGGTGGATAGCGAACTGCTTCACTAGATGGTTACGGGTTCTGTGGGTGTTTGTTTGGCGTGAGGTTTACTGTTGTCTAAATGCGTCTAGTGGGATGGTAATAATGCGATACTTAAATTTTCTGCCACATTTTTCTAGCGAATTCGTTGAAAGAGTATGTAACCATTTCAGGCGATGTGTTCTACAGACTGAAGACATATCTGATAAAGAATGGTTTTCGGCAGTTCACAAGGCTTGTCATGTGATGTTGCTTTAGGTCGCACTCTGAGAGTTTGAGCAGAGATTTCCATGGACTTCTGTCCTGGATGGCGAGCTAGCAACAAAAATCAATCGTACTCTGGAGCTACTGCAATACATTGATGGTGCCTATTATTCCTTCAGCCTTCTCCTGTTGGGTAGGCTCTTCGTTGGGCTGTCCCACTGTTCTTTGATTTTCTGTAGCCAGGATTGCTCTGCTTGAGCGGTGTGCTCCGCAGAAAATCTCAAACAGGCGTTGGAGATTCTGGATGTTACTGAAGCGCTTTTTGTAGGAGGCGAATTTCCTGCATGTTGCACTCCTGTATTCAAGACAGGTCCCTTAAGTCAGCCTACACAACATTCAAATCAGCTTCTTCGGTACCGCAGATGTCAGTTTAATCAGAACGATGAGTGGGTGTAGGTGAGAGGGTAACACGATCGTGGTACATAAAGCTGCACAGTCACATTCCCCTTATCGTTCGAAACTAGCAAAACCAAAGGATTGGCAAACTATTCATAGGATAACAGGAGCAATATAGGACCGCGTGCAAGACTCTGAAGAACGTCTCATGACGTTTTGATAAGATCTGAACCAGTGTCGTTCGCTCGTACTGCGTTTTTCCACTGGGATCGTGTGCTAGTCAGCAAAGCAGGGTCGTGACTTTGCTTCGTTGTGCGAGCAAAGCATATTGCCCTTGACATGTTGAGGTAGATAACAGTTACTCGAAGACCTATGTCTACCATTTTTGTCTTGTCCTGCCTGTCTAGCAGCGGGTTTGTTGGACGAAACTAGTGCTCATTGGATCCAGTTGGTGCATGTGACAAAATATCAGTTGGTTTGCGGAAGTCTGACGGGTCACCCACCGGATGTACTCCGTAGCACCTGATAGAACATGAAATATTGTGACGCAGTTTCAGTTCGTTGGAGCAGATCACCGTTTTTCACGCCAACCAGGATAGCCTCTTGTTCCATCGTAATGTAGACCTGTTCTTTACCGAAAATCTTTTAGAAATCCCGAAAAACAGATTACAATTGATAATCAACAGGCAGCTCTGTGACACTGTGTCAAGCTATAAATTGTGAGAGCGTTAGATTGTTTCAAGGGTCGTGGCTTTTTCGGGTCTTATCCACAGTGAAAACTGCGCGGATATTGGTGAATGTTATGTAGGAATCTGACACTGCAGTTTGGTGGCTAACATAAAAATTACTTCTTATGGCTCTATTCCTCTGTTTTCCACCATTTGTCACACCTGAAGATGTTGATTAAATCGGTGTTCCATGTTTTACCCAACGTGCATTATTGGTATGCCGATACGCAACAAGGTTACCAGCCCATGTCCTCCGTTGACAAGATTGGTGCGGTGATTTTTGAGCTGAGTAAACTGCTACAAATTTAAGTCTTTTTGTCCAAGTTTGTAATGTATTCAGGTACAGTCTTGCAGACACAACCGTCTTCTTGCCGTGCTAAAATTGTGTGTTGTGGTTAAGGCACAAGCTGCCATCTAGAAGTCGGTTGTTGCGACCAAACCTTTGGATGTTTAGTTCCTATATATACCTTGAGAAACTGATAGTGCATCAGCTCTCTCGCTTCCTTCAGTTCTCGTGACAGCTATACATAGTAACGGTGCTAAACATAGGTGGTATACATACAGAACAGTTCTCATTTAGTTTGTTCATTTGGTTTTTAATTCGTTTAGCTCGTTAGCAGAACTTGAAAATCCTTTCGATAGTTCAAACGTACCACAATCCTGCGTAGTCAACGTTTGGCCATGGAAAGTGAAAAATGTGATATAAATTCATATATCATTACACTGCTACTGCATCGAACAGGAGAATGGCGAATTAACCGCTTCCATCAGAATCCGAGTGCTTGCTAGCAAAGGAGTTTTTTATTGATACCCAGTGGTTTGCAATGTATATTTATACGGGTTGGTCAACCCCTCAATGTGAATCTGAGTTTCTGAAACGAATTTCTTGTGTATAGACTAGAAATTAAGGTTCTCATGTATGAGTGCGTGTATGAGATAAAGTGCCAGCGCGTGTTGAATGACCCTTGCCAATCCCTGGCCGCCCTCTGTGAAGAACTTTTAAAGTGATATACAGGTAATATTGCTGGGAAATCACGAGTTCATGAGGAAAATGTGCAATCTCAACTGTCATTCGGTAATAGTGAAGGATCATAAGACGTAATATGTCATTGTATATGTATAAATCCCCTATCTACCTTCATTAATGTCCCTTATTTTCCTCCCCTTTCAATTTGACAACCAGAAGGATGTCACAGTCGCGTCGTCTTGCGTTATAAGAAGTGACTAATAGCACGTCACTGTTTTCATCTGCTCCTTGGACCACTCGTGCGCACTCTGAAGCAGATCGGCCAACTAGCTGCTCCTGCGCGCGCTCTTGCCTCTTTATGGACAAATATTTGTTGCACTAGCGGAACATAAATACAGGATCTATGTGTGTTAAATGAGTTTACGGCCCTTTAGTTATCTGTACGGTACCGCATACGCTTTAATCCGCTGCAGCTAGCTGTCTCGATATTTCTATAGCTCCCAGTTTTGGAGATGAGGCCTAATCTGGTGCACGTACATAACTGTTTTCACGTTACTGCCTTGTAAAACTCTGTCAGATTTCATCCTACAAGCGGGGCCGATGTACACCAGAATGTCGGGAAGCAGCCCATAATTCTTTCATCCTTATTAGCAATCATCAGCCGTGTGCTTCTCAAGACGCATCTCAAGGAGCTTCGGATCTGCTGCCTTCCGGCACTCAACTGTTCAGTCACGAACAGCTGGTCAGTAGTCTGAATAACCCATATTCGGAGGGGACGTAGCGTTATTCTGACTCTGGTTACAGGGGTCTACGTCACATGGTCACGGATTGACTGACGCCTCAATTGACGACCTCAATTGACAATGCATTTTTGATAGTACTATTCGTTTTGAAGCCCTTAAGAATTTCCTCTTGTAAGTGGGCTCAACCTATTCC